CGTAAGAAACGATAAAGTGGTATTCTATTAATCAACACAAGCAAATATTGAGGTTTTAAATGAGTACATTGGTCTAGTGATTAAGAAATTGATCTGAAGTAAATTTGCACAATCAAACAAATTATGGTAAACTCTTATGCGGCTACCACAAGCACAAACACCACCAGTACAAATTTGTCACAAAAAAGATAGACGCAACAAACTTTTACCGATGACCACACCAATTATTGCTGCAGAGAAAAACCACATAAAGTCATCGCAGATAAGTTAGATCACATCAAATCATTGTTCGAACACAAGACCACATAATAAAAATATATAATAATCGCAGAAGCACGACCACAACACTCACAAAAGGGAGGCAACAAGACAACTATACTACTTCGAGGAACCATTGGTGGGCTCATCTAATGAGAGAAGCAACGGCAAAACTTTTTTTTTTTTTTTTTAACAAACGTTATTATCCACACTAAGACGGTTAATAATGATGTGGTTTTAATTCGTCTTTGACAAGAATCGAATCTAAAACTTCTCAGTTACAAGTGAAGAAAAATACTACTAAATCATAGTACTAAGAAACCCATTTTGGAAAAAAGACTTTTAGACTCCTATTTATAAATTCAATGTAACGTTCTTATAACTTAAATAAAAAAAGTGAAAAAGCCCAACAACGTTTCCCTTACCGCCACCCACCCCGTTTCTCTTTCCCCACCGTCTCTCTTTTAAGTGAAAGCTGAAAAAAAAACTGAAAAATGCCCGGCTCTCTTCGTCCCTCGTTTTTCTCCCTCACCACGTGCTTCTCTCTCTTCCTCGACCACCGCTCACCCCATGACCAATCATCCCTATCCTCACTGAGAATGTGACCGGAACTCGAAACCATGCCCGAAACACTACCTGATTAAGGATTTTCGCCGTTTCGAACAATGGAAGGCGGATGTCGAGATAAAACCACAAGAAGACTACTCAATACCTTAATTCTAAACAACGACATAAACGGTAAAGAATAGAAAAGCTTGACGAGTTACCATACCCATGGTTGACCTAGGAAGTTCTAGGAGATGAGAATTGGAGAATTTGCAGAGGGTACGTGGACTTTTATGAGCAACAACCGTAAGGGAGAAGGGGAGAGAGAGAGAGGAGGAGGAAGAGGAGAGGGATGGTGATGAGGTGCGATAGTGGTGGTCGGTGTTTGGCGGGTGGGGTTTGGGTTCTTTGTTTTCTTCGTTTTTTTTATTTTTATTTTTTAAATTAATTTATGATGCATGAGATTATAATATAGATGGAGAAATTAATAATGCATAAATTTAACCACTCTCTTATATATCTTTAATATTCGAAGGTCAGAAGTTAATTTTGGTGTCTCAAGGCTTCACTAAAAATATTTGGACTAAAAAACCCCCCCAAACAAAACAAAATCAAAACTGACAGAAATCCAGATAAATCAAACTCTCCACCCATCCACGTAGTTTTAGTGGTCATCGGAAATGGAATTGCCACGATCCCCACAGTGCATACAATGAAACTAGATGACTTTCTCAAACGCAATTTTGTCTTCTGTACATAACCCATCCTTCACACCTCTTTTCCGAGTTTCTCGAACTCACTTTCTTTTCTTCTTCTGTGAAATAAAGTCTCGATTGGTGGCTACTGGCTACGATTCAATAAGCAAGTCTTAAGTGGTGGTCTACTGGCTATTTTACTTGGTCTTCCCTTCCCAAAACACACACAGCAATTGGTGTAAACCCCAAATACAAACCTAAAAGCCTTTATCATCCCAAATGTACGAAATATTTAAGTTTGTTTAAATATGCCTCTAAAATTTTATTTTATTTTTTTTTTCAATTCAAGACTCAATCTACTGTACATAGAAGATTTCAGGTAATTATTCTCTAATTCTGGCTTTTTTCCCCCTATAAAATTGATTACTTTTATGCATTAGTTCATCAGAAAACTAGGCGACAAACTCATTAATCATCGAGCTTCGTAAGGCAGCAGGACTGTACAAATAAGGTTTCGATTTTAAATCTTCTCTTATTGCCTTTATGTTTATGTTTTGGCAAAAAATAAAAAATAAAAAAAACTGAAAAAGGAAGTAGCATATGTTACTATAATTGCTGTCTGTAAATCATTTTTCATCACGTTGGTGTCATCACTTTTGTAAATGTTCATGGTGAATTAGATTGGTCTTCGATGTTTTCAAGGACCATTCTTTTGCAAATGTTTTCTTTCTCTTTGATTCGTATGCATGGAAAGATGATTGGACTGTCTATGTAGGAAGTGTTTTTTTACTGTGTTTTTAACGAAAATGAGTTATTAATTGTTTGCTAGTTTTTGAGTTATCGATGGAAAATGGGTAATTTTGATTTGGCATTGTTGTTAAAGTATTGAAATTTATGTTGAATGAAGTGTTTTCTATGTTGCAGCGGAGGAGTTTCAGAGAGAGGTTGGAGTTTGTATATTTCTATGTCAAATGAAATATGCGTTTGTTGATATCTTTTACAATGACTTTCAAGTATTTTCATTGTAAAATGTTGAAGTAGTTGATATCCATTGACAGAGGACACGTATAAGGCCTTCGAGAATATGCACCCTGTCCTTACAGAGTTCAGGAAGGTCCAGCAACAACAATGGTGCGCCTCCCTTACCTTCCTCACTCTCCAAACACCAAAAAATATATAGGGATTTTTATATTTGGATGTCACTAGCCATACCATATTGCTTATTAGCTGTTTTCGGTGGACATATCTCACAACGTTGCTCTGGTGATGTTCATTGGCAATGTCTACTGGAACATTTTTTTTCCTATTTCTGGTTTGGGTTCTGAAAGGATTAAGATTAACAACGTAATGTGAATATAAGGGTGAGTGATTCGGTTTGATTCAGTTTCACCTGAAATCAAACGAAACCATTATTGGGTGGTTTAGGCATACGGTTTTAATTTTTAAAATTTTTCAGCAACTCATTACAAAGTTACATGATTTTTTGTGTTGCAGCTTGCGTTGAAGTTTATTGATACATAGGAGTTTCACAGGTAGGTTGGTTTTTGTATACTTCTGTGTCGAATGAAATATGTGTATGTTGTTCGCTGCAAATGAATTTTCATTGCATTTCAGACTTCGTGATTTGAAACAACTTGTTGAGTTTTATGCTCTTCGTTCAATTACAGTATATTCTTTTACAATGACTTTAAGATTTTACATAGACAGTTTTGCAATCTGATTTTTATTCTTGTTTTTTTTAAGTTTTTGCTAAAGATGCATGATTCAATGTGTATGTGGCCTTAGAATTTTTTTATTAGAATATGATATGTTTTAATTGTTCTCTTACTGAGTAAAGTTTTGGACGGTTTGGCATTGTGTAATTGAAGTTCTGTTTGTCATTGTACCGAGGTTGCAGTTTGCTTACTTGCCAAAGCCTTTAATGTGTTTCGGGAGTGATACACATGGAGAATACCAGTGGCTACACATTCCAGGTTGCTCTAATAGCTTCGAATAAATTAAATACATGCATTAAGATATGAAGGCTTCTTATTCCACAACAACGAAAGCACTTTTTCACTCTTTCATATACTAGGGGATTTCACTTGAAAAAGAAAATGTTCCATACTGATGGATTCGAGTCCATAACCATGGGTTCCAATGTACAAGATCTTGTAGCACTTACCAATGAGGCCCTATCGATTAGTATTACACAGAAGAAATCAATTATAGACACTAATATAATTAGATTTACTCTTCATAGACAAACTTGGGATTTGTGCATTCGCTTGCTGTCTACTTGCCATACATGACGATAAAGAAAGCCAGCAAATTTTCAAGTCATGTTGGCTGATTAGGATTGGATTAGTCTTGGGTGTAGTAGAATTTGATTGAAGAGGCTAACATTAAGTATTTGTGGATTAATTTTCGCGTGGTCATATTTTTTGTACGTAGGGAAAGGCTTCTGGCTCTTATATACCTAACTGTTAGCGATTTATTCATTTATTGCTTTGTTCCATATAAGTAATGCTTTCAATGTCATTTACAGATAAACAATTAAATTACAAGCATCTATTTGCTTTTTTGGACATATATTATGTACTGATTTTACTATTTCATTTTGGTTTTGGCTTTTACTTTGCCTTACTAAATTAGATTAATTTTGGAGCTTATTAAGCAACTTTTAAGTAAACAGCAAGCAAAAAAAATGTGGGATGGTGGGCTATTTATAAACTTTAGTTTTTGTACAATGAACCGGTGCAAAAAGAATAATTTAGTTTTTCATGCCATTTAGACAAGGGCGGATTTCAACCATTTAGGATGATCTTTGTTAGCCAAGGATGGTGGAACACCATGATCTTGCTGCACCACTGTTTACCCTTGACAAATGATCAAAACAAATATTTTCATATGAACATATCTCCCAAGATGGATTTTGAGGAGTGTTTTTCGTTACAAATTCGAGTGTTGAGATCCAAAAAAGTCACATGCAAACCCCTCATGCCAAGCCCAAGTACACGCAAACGTACGGGATTAAGAAAAAAAAAATATTCACAATTATATCATACTACGATAATTAAGCCAAATATTTATAAAAGAAACATTTAAGAAATAAAGAAATAAATAAAACAACACATTTCAAGGGGCACATAGCTCCCAAGATGAAAAAATACTTCTTGCATGCGCATGATGTGCCCTTTACATTACCCTTCTTAGGTCGTAAAATATGCTAAATGTAAATCACGGCTTTTTTTGGGTCAAATGTAATTAGTTTGCTTGTAAAACCCTTTAAAATAATAATAAAAATAATAAAAAAGAAGAAGTTAAAAAAGGCAAATAAAATCCCATGTTACCGATAGCCTCAAGACTAAGACAAGCACTCATCTTTTCAGTGTCTGACCGTCTCTCCCGCGTGAAGCTCCGCCGTCCAAAACCATGAGCATCTCACAAATTTAACAAAAACAAAACCCCATTTCCTCAGAATTTTCAATCCTTAAAATCCCACCAAATAACCAAACGGCAATGTCGGTGGCGTGTGGCGTGGAGTGCGTGGTCGTGTTGGGCTGTATGCGCTGGGTGTGGCGGCGCTGCACCTACATCGGCTCCAACGACAGCGCCACCTGGTCCTCCGCCACCCCCGACGAGTTCGACCCCGTCCCCCGCATCTGCCGCCTAATCCTCGCCGTCTACGAGCCCGATCTTCACAACCCCCACTTCATCCCCACCGTCGGATTCCGCCCCAACCCCGACTGGGTCGTCAAGCGCGTCACTTACGAACAAACCCTTGGACATGCGCCGCCCTACCTCATCTACGTCGACCACGATCACAAGGAGCTCGTCCTCGCTATTCGCGGCCTCAATTTGGTCAAAGAGAGCGACTACAAACTCTTGCTCGATAACGAGCTCGGAAAGCAGATGTTCGACGGAGGCTACGTCCACCACGGCCTCTTGAAGTCGGCGATTTGGCTGCTCAACGAAGAGGGCGAGACATTGAAGCGGCTCTGGCTCGAAAACGGATCCAATTACGATATGGTGTTTGCGGGTCACTCTTTGGGGTCTGGTGTGGCGGCGCTGCTGACTGTGATTGTTGTCAACCACCGGGACTGGTTTGGCGGGGTCCCCCGGAGCAAGGTGAGGTGCTACGCGCTTGCTCCGGCGCGTTGTATGTCGTTAAATTTGGCCGTCAAGTATGCCGATGTTATATACTCGGTGGTTCTGCAGGTGGGTTTGGCTGAGTTTAATATTGTCATTTGTGTTTCTTGCATGTGTTTGTTTGGTTTCGAACTGTTTTCGTGACTTGTGGATTGGTGATTGTGTTCGTAGGATGATTTCTTGCCAAGAACTGCAACCCCCTTGGAAGACATTTTCAAGTCAATCTTTTGGTTGGTTTTCTTTGAAACCATTAATTTTATTATATCACGAAAAAGAAGACAAATTTACTTGGGATTGTAGATTTTATAATGGAGTGAATTACTAAGACTTTTGGGGGTTTTGGACAGCTTGCCCTGCTTGTTGTTTTTCGTTTGTTTGAGGGATACTTTCATACCAGAAGGTAGGAAGCTTAGGGATCCCAGAAGGCTTTACGCACCCGGGCGGATGTATCATATTGTAGAGCGCAAATTTTGCAGGTAACCCCCATGATCCTTACATCAATCTTCTCATTTTATGTTTGTGGATCTTAAAAGTGTGGTCGAATTTCCATTGACAATGAAAGATGCCATTCGGTACTTACGGAGTCAAGTGTAATGAATTCCTGAATGAATGCAACTTGCCTTATTTACAGCTCTTGCACTTTTACGTCATATCATTAATTTTCACATCCACACGAATCCAGTGCTTTGGATTTTGAATTTGTGATAGTAATGTGAAATTGGTGTCCTTGGCAATTGTTGTACCATCCCTAGAAATTGTTTCGCTTTGTGATTCATATACTCCAGTAGCGGGAGGCAATCACTCTTTAGGTTCTGCCTAGGAAATGGATTCTTAGTGGCTTTTCGTGTGAAAGTACTATGTACATCTGATGAGAACATTATAGGTTCCTACCCACTAGAATCTCCTGTCTCCCTAGAGAGCTCATAGAAGAATCCCTACCTCAGGAGGTGGGCAGGGAGTATGATTTTTTATTGACAAATGATAGCGTTAGTGGGTTCAATTGGTAGTTGTTAGGGCACCCCGCAGGGGGGGGGGGCCGGTGTTTGGGTTCGGTGGGGATCAAACCCGCACTAGGTTGCATAGGCATCATTGATGTCCGCCACTGCGGTAGAGCACCATTGGCACAGGGAGTATGGTTGAAGGCTTTTTTTTTTTTTTTTTTAACTCCTCCCTAAATTTTAGCTATGGAGCTCATTTAGGGAGCACATTGGAGATACTCTAACTTGTAACATGAAAAAATTTATGCTCGTTTGGATGAGAGACTTTCAAAGCCCAAAGAACTTTAAAATGTATTTTTTAAAAAGCACTAAGCCGACCAATGAACTACTCAAACTGTCAAACATTACAAAGCTACTGTAAAACACTACAAATGCACTACAAAGACACTAAGCAAGGGACTTTCAAAATGACCTTGAAAGGTGTCACATGAAAGTTCTCTCAAAGTTACAGCATACAGTCATATTCAAAGTCCATCCACATAATTTTTTTGTTGTATTCCTAGCTTAGTTAGCTTAAGTTCCATGGAACTTTAAATTAGCATCTAGTCCTTTTGAAAGTCCCTCAACATAACTTTTATGGTCCTTTCCTAACTAATTTAGCCTGAGTTCCATGGGACTTAAAAATCCCTCATCGAAACGCACACCAGTTGTAACTTTTGCCTTCATTTTCTTTGGAAAAAGTTTGAATCTTGTCTAATGTGTTTCACTAGATTTTTACCAGGGTATGATGCAATTTGGAATAGAAAAAAAATTAATTGGGGTTTACAACAATACTTTAGAATGCTGCCCTGTTAGCTTTGAAATGATGCAAACCCCTTCTTTGTATCCTGCAGGAAATAAGGAAGACGAAAGGGAATAACAATGCCTATAATTGTACATTCATTGGTCATAGCGCCGCAAAAAAATTGGATATAAAAAATAGGGAAGTGTTATTGGCACTCCAAAAATCTCATTCTACACTCCTCACAAGTGTATTTTTCTTTCGAAATATAGAAAGTTTGGAGTGCCAATAACAATTCCCAAAAAATATTTCCATTTTTGAAGTTCTCTGTTAGTTAGGCATTATGTGTAGGAGTATCTCTTGTAAATACATCTTTTTTTATGTTAGGCTATGGTCTACTGATTGTGATAAACTGTTGGCGTATCTACAACAATGCTTACATTTTTAAAGAAATCCATTATAAGCATTCAGCTATGCAGCTGGAAGTTTATTTATACCTTACTGTTGCATCAAGTAAAATTTTCCTGCTGCCAGTTTGCGAAGTTTTAAAATTGGATCAAATCTGTTTGTTTTGATGGGCTTCTCTGTGCGGGTTTTTGTCTGTTGAACTAGTATAAAGTTTCACTTTCTAGAAGACACTCTGTTCGGGTTTTTGTCTGTTGAACTAGTATAAAGTTTCACTTTCTAGAAGACTTAGTGTTATGTTGGAACCTAAACTGTTGTGTTCATGCGATGATTGAATTCCTCATTGCTTGGTATAACAGATGTGGGAGGTTTCCTCCAGAGGTCCGAACTGCCATTCCAGTTGATGGGAGATTTGAACATATTGTCTTGTCATGTAATGCCACATCTGATCATGGAATTATCTGGATAGAAAGGGAAGCAGAGAAGGCTTTATTAGTAAGTGGAACTTAACTTACAACCATAATCATTATCATTTCATTTCCTTTTGAGACTCCCATGGTTATCATTTCATACATTTTATTTTTCTTATTTTAAACTAAATTAAATATGTTTTTAGCTCAATGACAATTCTTCAGTTTCCACGGGAATGCAAAGAATATCAGCGTTGTGTTTATTCTCCTGCTTAAATCCCAAAACTAGCATGATTGCTTGGCTGTGTTCATAAACTATCAGAAGGGTCTTAATGCCCCTATGTAACTTGTGTCTTAAGTTATCTTTGGTTGTTGGAAAGGGGAAAGAAGTAAAGGGAAAAGGGGGTTAAGGTGGTGTAAGCACAAACGAGTCCTTGATCTCTTTTTCTTAGTTTGAGCAGAGGTAACAGGAGGGACAAGATCAAAAGGAAAAGGGCTTGTCTTCACTGTACCATATTGACAATTCGATTCCATTTGGTATTGTTCCTTCATCTACTAAGCAAATCAACTGCTCAAAGCTCTCCCTTTCTCACCCCGCGCCGCCCCCCCCCCCCCCCGGCAAAAAAAAAAACCACCGCATTAGCGGACATTCTTCAAGGGCCAATCATGTGTGAATTAGTTTGATTACCACAATGTGTTATTTACGGTTGTTTACGATTGCTAATTCTGGATCCGTTTTGCGAAGCATATTAGTATATGTGAACCGTAATTTAAAGTAAAATAATGATTTCGGAGTTTTGTTGTTTGCTATTGAATTGTAAGTGCTTATCTTTTATATGTTGAATAACCACTGATCAGTGATGTAATTACTCTTCAGCGAATGAAGGAAGAAAGTAGTTCTGAGACCGTAACAACTGCTCCAAAAATACAAAAACTTGAGAGGTTGCAGACCATTGAAAAAGAACACAAAGATGCATTGGAAAGAGCTGTCAGTTTGAATGTGCCTCATGCTGTAACATCCAACGAGGAAGCTCCTGAAGACCAAAAACCAGAGGAGGCTCCAGAGATCGAAAATCAGAGCGAAGACGCTGCAGATACAAAGTTGAAGTCCACTGGTGGAAGGGCAAGGTGGGATGATTTGGTTGAAAAGCTTTTCAAGAAAGATTCTGGGGATGTACTGCTAACACGAGATTCAAATCCCCCAGAATAGCAACATTCTTTGTTGGTGTAAAGTTTGCTCGATACAAGGTAAGAAGGAGATGAAGATTCAAGCCAACAGTAATATAAGGTTTAAAAATAGGTGGTCCACTCCTAATTACACCAAGATCTTTTAAGATAAAGGCCTTACAGTTAAGTGCCATTCGTCTTAATACCACCGAAGTTATTGGGCTTAGGTGGTTAATCGGGACACTATCGGTGAATTGCTGGACTTAGGAGTGGACACTAGCGGACCCTTGACTCATCTCCTTGAGGTTTAGGTACTTGTGAATAGTTCATGATTCGTTTCGCACCCACTTTACAATAGGTTGGAATTTGTACATTTTATAGGTAAAAGAGTTGTGCATTACATATAATTACGGGTCCATTACCCATGGGAGAGAATTGTCAATACAAAAGAATACTGAAATTCAGTTCCTCAAACTCCTATCTGTTCTTCGAGTTCCATCTATGTTTCGATATTAAGCTCTTCAACTTGCAACCAAGCATCAACTTTCCTTTTTGTACTTTTGTGAATCCAACAATCAAAAGCCGAAGATATATTTGAGGAGATGATATTGCACTTCTAATTTCTCCTCATTCACCCTTCCCATTTTTTTTTCTGGGACCAAAGGAGAATCGAGGGACAAAAACAAGAGGAGTGCAAACCGATAGTGTGAAGTTCACAAACCATACTAAAATCAAGGATACATTCAAGTATTGAAGACATTAAATAAATACTTACACCAATGTCTTTTGTGATTAAATCTCACATCCATCGTGTTGTGTATGAGATAATATGCAAGCTTGGAAACAACATCGGTATGATTAGTAGTGAGTTGCCCTTAACAACTTCAACTTCCACATATATACATCGTCTTACCTGATGAGCTAATATCACGTAGTCCCCTATTATTAATAACAAAAAATAACACTAAACGAGTGGCATTGGATGCAAGGATGAGATTGAGAAGGATAAAAAAATGGATTGGTTTGGTCGGTTGATCAGTAGTACTTCAATTAAGGTAAAAGAAGGATCGGCAAAATAGGCGATCTTGTGCTTTTCACAGTATATTTTGGTACGTAACTGCAATGCTAATTTGAATGTTTAGAGCATTTTTTGTAGGTATCCATCCTTCTTCATTTTTCAAGACAATTTCAGCGTGATGATTAATTAAAGAATTAATTCATCTTCAGTCAGATGAGGTAAATAAACGTTGGACATGTTGCCAATATTTGGGTCCATAAGTAGTAGTATGTAAGAAGCTAATTAATCATGGAAACTCTAAACTTAAACTTTAAGCATGGATGGGATTCGTGGTATAAATTTGGTGGATTGATGGATGGATGGATGGATCCATGACCTAACTAACTTAATGACATGTTACTTAACCACTCACTGCTGATAATTGAAAAGCTCTAATTGGGGTTTAACGTACTAATGCAATCAGATTAGGCCTTCTGTCTTTTGTTGGTTAACGGCTGTGACAAGAAATACCTGAACATGTTAACAACCTTCTGGCCATGTAAGTGCTTTTGCTTTTTGAGAAAACAGTCGCATAAAGCAACACTGCACTGACTCTTGATTTTGTTACTGTGGAACGGTTACAACTGTGCATGCAAACGGTGCAACTGAGCGATTAGTCAACTGGAGAAATTTACCAACGTCTTACATAATTATATATGACCTATATATTATACACTAGTTATTATTAAACGAGGGTTGTCCTGGGTATTAACTTTTTAACTAGTTGGTTTGAGCAGTGGACAGTAAATACGACAACACGATTTAGATATTCATCATAATCTAACCAAAAAGAAAATTATAATTACAAATTAACCATCAGTGATGTAAGCAACATGTAAAAAAACTATGATTAATGAAAATACATTTTGATCACATGATCACATGATGTAATTAATGAAAATACATTTTGATCACATGATGTAAGCAACATGTAAAAAAACTATGATTAGAAAAATGAAACTACAATAAAATCAAGAATCTAACCAAAAACATTAACACCCAAAACTACAACTTTCGGCTAGAGAAAAAATAATGACTAGAAAAAATTTTAAAATTTATAAATGCATATAACATTTTAGTAAATATAAAACGGGGCTATAATAGGAGGATCTCATTATGTGTATATCAATCAAAGATCATCTTTGAGAAAATTCACTCAAATTGAAAATCTCATTTAAATATCAAATTACGATGAAATAAATAGATGAACGTTAATATCAGGTTTGTCTCTCTACTACTAACTAATTAGAATGCGGACCCATTCTCAACAGTAGACATGTAGTATATGAGTTTTCAATCACTGAGTCCTATATAATTAATATCAGGTTCGTCTCTCTACTGCTAACTAATTATCTCAAACCTTGAGAATAAGATTAAGCTGTAGCTGCACTAGCTTAGACAATACAACTGGCACTGATAAAGAATGAGGTTTTACAGCATGCCTAAACCCAAACTGACTACTTGGCCACCCTTGAAGCAGTAGTACTCGTTACTCATAGACTTCATATATAATAACATCAAATAATCGATTTCTAATTATGAATATTCACCTGAGAATTAATTTAAACCTTTTAGTTTTAGCATATAATGATGTGAGCGAGAGCAGACTTTTTGGATTTATATACGTTTAGTTAAAATTAACCAGGAGGAGATTTGAAGGAACTTAAACTTATTATAGGGTTTGACAATAATTTGTATGAGAGGGAGATTTAATCAGAAAGTTTGGTACCTGAGACTGATGATAAAACATGCAAAATCTTGATGTAGCAACCGAAACAAAGCACTCACGACAGGTACCAATCTCCAACCAATATTCTATCCAACCCTTATATATACTCATCTCACTTGGAGCAATTAGCACCCACAATTTATTCATTTGAGAGCTATAATTTCATATCATATATTTATATTTATGGAGAAGACACACTCCAAATCTACTCTTAAGGTCGTGCATGGTTCTTAATTACGTAATTGACTTGTTAAATTAATTTGTTCTTCTTTAATTTCGATGCTGATGAGTGTAATGATAGCTTGAAAGTGTCTTATATATCTTTCTTATTTCTTAACTTGGCCTTCTCTTTTTTCCAATGAAGTTTGTGAAGAGTGCTTCACAGTTCACAACGGGTTTATGGAGCACAAATTCTGAAGGAATGGTGAGATCAGACACATATACCACCTCAATATTGGAAAACCATATATATATTTATATATATATATTCGCTGCCAAGTTAGCATGTCAACATATTATTAGTGTAGTTAATGGGGTTAATCAAGTGTCAAGCGGCTATATATTGTTGCAATTATTCTAGAGAGGTGATGAACATACCTTGGTTCGATTAAGGTGATGAACATCTCTGTATATTTACAGTACTGGGACTTGTTCATAAAGTTCTACCACTTGATTTATAGCTCTTTATTATGTTTCTTAATTTATTTTGGGCGGTGTTATCCACACACATCTTTTTAACTCTCACACACCTTTTATTAATTTATGTTTTTTTTATTTTTTCCAATTTATTCAATCTAATAATAAAAATTTGAGAGCTATGTGTGAATATTTAAAAAGAGTGTGTGAAAAACATCATCCTTTATTTTATAAAAATGTGTATTGTATCATGACGTCATAAAGGTGATTTCAGACAATATATCACTTTGCCATACTTTGTGTCCTTTCTTAGAAAGGTTAAGGCAGAGGTACACCGTACAGATCAGGTCTAGAGAATTATATCCTTTTATGGAAATTAATTATTAAGTCGCAAATGAGAGTGTATTAGCTAAAAAAGTACTTTCTTAATGATGTTAAATCTAATTATTCGAGTGAAGTGGCATGAAGATGGAAAATGCTTTCCTTGTATGGTTAAGATCCCACAAGGTCACATCCTCAACAGAAATGGGTGATATACACTTTATCTTAATTTACTAGTAAGCATAAGCTACATCTGTTTTCAGTAAAATTTATGCTTTCGTGGATTCTTGCATCACTTATAATTTACCACAGCACTGCAACTAAAATCATATTTTTCTTAATTTACAGCCAAAAGATGAATTCAAGGACAAATCAAAGGTAAATAATTAACTTATCAGGTTGTGTAATCTTACTACTATGGACTGGAGCATGGTAAGCACATGAATTTTAGACTGTTGAATTATTTGGACTTTTTTATTAAATAAAAAAAAATCTTAATCCTCCTTAATTAGCCTGATACATATCATACAAGAAGCATGAGAATTTTAGTCAATCTCACTCTCTTGTGCCCCTCTTTCATGTTAACTACTGAACCTTGTTTATATATATAATAACTAGTCTTGTCAGAAGTCTCCTACAATGGAAAATACCAAAGCTCAAGAAGTGAAACTTCACACTCAACAAAGAGCAACCAAACGAGCAATGTTCAACTACATGGTGAGTCGTCAGTTTTCCTTTTCGTGAAAATATTGACCGTAACTCTTTAATTTAGCCTTTATCGGAACTCTTTATTTTCAGTTTTATCAATTAATGGATATACAAATAACAGGTTGCGACCAAGCTGAGTATCTTGGAGCAGCAGAGAAAACAAGAAGAGATGTTGCAGAAGGTAGAGGCACACACACACACACACACACACACATATACATGCATACATATAAAAATATTTGAGAAGCAAAAACATGATTCTGATGGAAGAGTGCTGTAATAAATTAATTGAGCAGATGATAGCAGAGGAAGAGATTCGCTTACTGAGAAAAGAGATGGTTCCAAGGGCTCAATTGATGCCATTTTTCGATAGACCTTTCATTCCGCAAAGGTAAAAACAATTTATTAATCCTCTCAGTGCAAGCATTTTGCTCCAGCCAACCGTAATTTTGTGTGTAGTTGGGATACTTTTAGTATGTTATAATATAGGTGTAGAACATAATTAATATCTCATATTTTTAAGGTATATAGTGATAATAATAAAAAGTAAATACATGCTATAATTTAAACAAAATTGTGACATTACGTAATAGAGTTCTGAATATACTGAAAATTTACCATATTCCTGTGCTGTTTTCTTCTTCTTCTTTTGATCTTCTTGCATTGCAGATCGAGCAGGCCTTTAACAATTCCTAGAGAACCAAGTTTCCGAATGATGAGCAGCAAGGGCTTCAGCTGCAACTCTGGCAGTGAACTCTACAATTTCCAACCCACAACTCAAGCTATGAATCCCATCAAGTAGACCATTTCAATAAGTACCACCAACAGATTATTCCTTAAAACATAATCCCAATGTGGTGCTTCATGCATACTGCGAGAAAAGCCTTTTTTCATTCAGATCCTTAATTTTCTTGCGTAGTTACTAAAATCCCAAAGTTGGATAGTTGTAATTTAGTTGACCCTCAAGGGGGAATTGCTAGTGACGATTCTCCACAGTTTAGAGAATAAAGACACTGCATTTCCTTTGCTTTTCTATCCTAATCTATTTTGTCACACTCACTGTGGCACATTCTTGAGTCCGTGGCGCATGGTTTATATATAACAACAAAAAATTGTGGCTTAATTAATTGACATGATAAAATTAACATGGATGCAAAAGATGGTTGATATGGAATGTTAAAGAGACAGATCAATGAACTTGAAATCTCAAGGCTTTTTCTAGCTAGAGGACGTGTTTTCTGAAAGTGAAAAAGAAAACACAATTGGAATCGATGGATATGAGTTAGGGGCAGACCTGCTACAAGCTATCTGGGGTGTAGCCGAACCGACTTGTGTGTTTTGCTGGACAACACTAGCAATCGGATACATGCTATGCACAACATGAAAGCGAAAGGTGGAAGAAAATATGGAAGAATTTTATTTTATTCTAATTTTAAATCAGTTCAATTATTTTTATGTGGTTTTTAGTTCAAATACCATTGTTAAGAAATTTTTCTAGTGAAAAAGTCAACCAAAATTATACTATATTTTTAGTTTACTTAATTACTATGGATAAAAGTCAACCAAAATTACACTATAATTCAAAATAGTTACTTGATTGTCACACAATCCCTACCAACTTTTCTAGTGACTGGTGACTAGCTGGCTGACCAACTTTTCCGGCGATCAGCCACTTCATTTTGCAGAAAAAATGATATAAAAAATGTCTTCAATGGAGTTTGATCCAAATCTCAAAGTGAAAAGTAACAACTTGTATCACTACACCAAAAAACCACTTGTAATATGTATTACCTTCATTAAGATTAACGAAGGATGATATAAATATTATAAAATGTAATAATATACGTAAAATTAATGTTGTTAAGTTGATATTGTTTCACTCTCAATGGCGTAGTCAAGAATTACAAAGCTAAAATTATTACTACGAAATTAAATTTTTAATAGTAAATCTAAAAGTAATAATTTAAAGTAAGAAATTTATACAAAGTAAGGAACCATGTGGTATGGAAGTTTCAATTTATTACTATTCATAATATATTGGTTAAAGTAATGAGTTTATTTAACATTTATTAGCTGCTATTTTCCTTAAAAGTAGCCTTAAGATTTAAAATTTTCATTTGCTAAGTATAATGTGACAATTAAAAATCATAAAATAGCCTAAAAGATTAATACTTTTAAACTTAAAGAACCAAAACTCTCCCTATGCTATAACATTGATGAGCCTATGAGCCTTGTACTTGACTCCAACAGCGGCTTTACTTGTGAGGTCATGAGTTCAAATCTCCAAATTAATGTTATTTTTATCTTTTATCAACATGTGTGACATATGCCACCGTTGATGCCTGTAATCGAAATGAAAAATGTCTAATTACGCACGGCGATTGGCAGAATAAATTTTGGTTGACCAAAACATTTTGTGATGACCGTTTGGTAAACTTTCCGGCGATTGTGCTCGTGGCCTATGGGTCATGTGCACTGTGGGAAATATGGTGTCATTTGGTACGCTGGACGGGACGGAACAGAGTGGGACGAAGCGTTCCGTCCCACGTTTGGTACGCCTAAAATGAGTGGAATGCGCTGTTCCACGGAACAAGTTTTGGATGATTTTTTGTTCCACCTCCCCCCCTGGAACGGGTTGTTCCACGTCTGTGGGACAGAAATTTCCAATATTTTTAGACAAAAATGCCCCTGGTCTTTTTCAAAATTTACAACTTCAAAATCAGTTAACAAACCCTAAAAACTATTTCTTTTCTTCTCAGCCGTTTCTCTTCACCTCTGCATCCCTTTCCCCTTCGCAACCTTCCTGCTCATCTTCTTCTGTGCTGTGCAGCCTCGCAACCTTCCTCCTCGTCCTCTTCCGTGTAGCAGCTCTGCGAACTTGGTGGTCCTCAGGTATCTCTCTCTCTCTCCTCTCTGTATTTTTGGGTAACTTGAATGTTTGAATTGGTGATCACAAAATCAAGATTTGTTTGTCAGTTACAGTATTAATAAGTGTCTGATTTCATTTGTAAACTATTTCTGTTTACAATAAATATGGATTGGTAATTATTGGATTTAAATGGATTCGTAGTTTTTTATGAGAGGAGTTGTTGAGGTTGTGTGAAGGTTTGTTTTTCTGGGTTTTATGTTGCAGGGGGTTACAAACACGGACAGGAGGAGAGGAAACATTAGTTTAGATTGTGATTTAAATTTTTTTTTTTTTATATGTTCTTGGTGATATAAACTGTGTGAGTGCAGTTGTTTTAAAATTATTTGCATGTGGTTTTTTATAGTTTTGCAGTTTGGATATAAACTGTGTGAGTGCAGTTTGGATTAAAATGGATTTTGATTAAACTGTGTGAGTGCAGTTCTTGGTGATATAAACTGTGTGAGTGCAGTTCTTGTCAAGATTAATGCAAAAAGGTCAATTTGGAGTTCAGATCAGCTTGATTTGCTTCCTAATATATATTTTGCTGGACTGAATTTTGGTTTGGTCCTCTGTTGATTTTAACTTGGGGATCACAGGAAATTAACCCTAAGCCTAGGTAGAAAGAACAATAAAAGCAACTTGTTAATGAAGGAAGAGGAGTTTGAGGTATCAACGTTGAGCAACTAATTAGGAAGAAGTTTAGATGAATTGATAGGGAGCTAGTAGTAGTTCACTTGGACAAGAATTTTGAACGATTTGGGTGTCAGCGTCGAGCACTGAATACTGAAATTAACTCCCTGGTGGTGTTATAGGATTACTAACAGAAGATATATTATGGAGTTAACAAAGGTAATTAAAGAAAACAATTTGTTTGCATTGCATGGCATATTGCAGTACTTGTTAAGCTTTTATTACATTGATTGCTGTAATGTGGAAGAAAAATGGAAAACAAACTAAAGAATATATATGTAGAGTTTATTCCAACTGATGACATGAGCTTCCTTTCAAAGACTTCTCAGTCTGACACTAACAGACAAATTAACTTGAGTCTCCCTAACGATAAGGAATTAAGAGCAAGAAATGCTCCTAATTAACAAAATCCTATATCCATCAAAGTACGTATGTAGATGCTAATTAGTTGATACCACACATCTTCACAAATCGTAATAGGAAGATGTGGCTGCTGCTGGTATATATCTTCTTCATTTCTTTTCATTCATTCCAAGTGTGTTCTTCACGCTGTCCATAGCACCGTGTGCCATGTTCATCACTTGCTCTCCAGTCTGTGGCAATTGAGAATAGCTCTATCAGAAAGTTTGCAAGATTTATTCATGACCGTCCCACTTGTTTGTATTATAGTCAGCATGTGTTTGAAAATTATTCGAAAATGTTTGAGTGCAGTTTGGATATAAACTGTGTGAGTGCAGTTTGGATATAAACTGTGTGAGTGCAGTTTGGATTAAAATGGATTTTGATTAAACTGTGTGAGTGCAGTTCTTGGTGATATAAACTGTGTGAGTGCAGTTTGGATTAAAATAGATTTTGATTAAACTGTGTGAGTGCAGTTCTTGGTGATATAAACTGTGTGAGTGCAGTTTGGATTAAAATGGATTTTTTTGACATGTTTGGGTTTGATCTCATGTGGATTATTGGAAAAACGAAATGGTATTGCTCTGACAGATTGTTGGTCGCTTACAGGTCTGAAGACTAATATTACGAATCGTGATTCTAAATCAGCCCAAGATCGTTATTTATCTGTGAGTTTTGCATGTTTATCAGCTTATATGGTTTGGATCTTTTTTTTTTTTGTTGGATCGTTATTGTGCATGTCTGATGCATTTTGTTTTCCAGATTCAGGAAACTGTCCCTTTCAGATTTTTGGATTTTCGATTCTGATTCTTGGAACTCTATGTGCTAAAGGTATATAAATGTATTATTTGTTTTCTTTGCAACTAAATTTTACTTTTTTTTTTGTTTTGTTTTGGTGATTTGGGACCATTTTTTGCAACCTGCATATGATCAGAACTTAGTTAACTTGAACAGTCAACACACACCATTCAGTGAATCTATAAAATAAGTTCTCATTAGTGAAAACCTTGAAAGCCTGCATGTCAGAGAGGAGTTGAAAACATCCAGCACCAACGCTGACCATAAAGATAAGGCAAATTGTCAAAAAATATACCTAGATTAATAAGGATAATAGCATGCAAGTTTATGGCGATTAATATGTATACGTACAGTTCTTCTAAAAATAAAAAAATGTATATGTACAGAGAACTAGGAAAATAAACAAGTCACTTTAAGCAAAATGCCAAAAGTTACTTGAAAACACAATGTGACTAAGAATTAACTCAAATACAGACCTTCCTGTTCGAAGCACAAACTCCTCATTTTCTTTGATAAGATCTTCAGTAAGCAAAGGTACTTCCTACATATAATAATGTGCATATATGATATAATCTCAAATAACGTGGCAAGTTAAAACAGTTTTCCTTGAAAGACAAGCTATTAAAACATACCTGGGTCACAGGGGAGTACACAGGTTCACCAGTTTCCAACATTGTCAGGTTGCCAGATGCATGTTTTCTTGCTGATTTTTGTGCTAGCAATTTTATTTAAATCCACAGCTGTTTTTTTTCATTTGACTTGCTGTGATGGTTATGCTTGATTCATAAGATTTGAGGTAGTCGTGATAAAATTAGAAGAGTGATATCTATGTTATTTTGGATTTGTGAGAGTGATATCTATGATCATATGGCTCAATGGTTTCAGGCTAAGAAAGCAACGTCCATAAACATTATATATTATTACTTCCTTTTAATTTCAATGACTTACTTCATTAGTCTAAACCAAACCCTCCAAGTGAACTATTTTGCGTTGTATAGTTTGTTGGGCCTTGCTTTTTATTATACATTATATTATCATTATTACCAAGTCCAAGTATCTAAAATGAATTTAGCGTATGTTGATACTCCACTCATTCATGTGTTGTTTTTTTGCATGTGAAGGTATGGATGAATATGAGACTCAATTCTTTGTTCTTTTGAACGTTTGGATTATAATGGCACAAGTCTTTACTATGAATGCACAATTGTTGAGGTATAGACAACAACAAAGGAGACAACGGGAAATAGCTAGTTTAGAGCAGAGGACATTTGTTAGACTTCATGTTAGGAGAGAGGAAATAAATCGTATCACGCGATTGAGTGATACTAACTGTTTGTGGGAGCTACGAATGGATAGGAATGCATTTGCAGTTTTATGTGATTTACTACAAATTCGTGGTGGATTGGTAGATGATGGTCATGTTACAATAGAGGAGCAAGTAGCTACTTGTGCTAACATACTAGTCCACCACAATAAAAATAGGTCAATGCAAGTTAGATTTTTTAGGTCTGGTGAAACTATTAGTCGATATGTCCGTAGAGTATTGCGTGCATTACTCAGTTTGCAAGATGTGTTGTTTGCAAAACCAACCCCTATCCCAGAGGATTGCACGGAATCGAGATGGAAATGCTTTAAGGTAATAATCATAGTAAAATCATTAATAACATAATTATTTGTAATTGCTAATTAATATAAGTTTTTCTTTTGTCTAGGGTTGCTTAGGAGCGCTAGATGGAACATACATAGGGGTCACTGTGCCTGATGTCGATAGACCAAGATATAGAACAAGGAAAGGTCATATAGCAACTAATGTGTTAGGCGTATGCACACACGACCTCAAATTCGTATATGTGTTATCCGGTTGGGAGGGATCAACTACTGATTCGAGAGTTCTTGGTGACGCTGTTACTAGAGCTAATGGCCTCAAGGTCCCAACTGGTGAGATAGACAAGCACCTAGTATTTTTCCTTACCTTTGTTGGCCAACAACTAAAATTTATTATCAACTAATATAGGTACATATTATTTGGTTGATTCCGGATATACGAATGGTGAGGGTTTTCTGGCACCGTATAGAGGCACTAGATACCATTTGCAAGAGTGGGAAGACAATTCCCGTGCACCTAGGAATCATGAAGAATATTTTAATATGAAACACTCACGTGCTAGGAATGTCATTGAGAGATGTTTTGGCCTCCTCAAACGACGTTGGGCTATCTTACGAAGTCCTTCCCACTATCCAATCAAGATTCAGGGACGAATGATCACCGCATGTAGTTTACTTCATAATTTTATCAGAATGTATATGACAGTTGATCCTGAAGAAAATGCAAGACTTGCATTTGATGAATTACCTATAGGGGAAGATTTACCAGAAGTATTAGCCTACATTGAAACCATCGAGTCAAGCCAAATATGGACTCAACGGAGGGATGATCTTGCAAGAGAAATATATGATGAGTGGAGAGGAAGGAGGGCTTGAAAATTGGTTAACATGGTAGTTGTTGTAATTGTCTTTTAGATGTGGACTCAATGTGGTTGTTGTAATTGGCTTGAAAATTCGTAACATCAAGACTAGTGAGATGTTTGTTATTGTAATATGGTAATTGGGAGTTATCTAGATGTTATGGCTTGTTTGATATGTTTATTTGTGTTACTAAATTTTAATAAATTTTAAAATTAGGGTGTAGTCATTGTCATTTGATTTGGCTTATTTGATTTGGTAATTGATTAGTACAACTGATATAAATTTAGTCATTGTCATTATATCTATGTTTATTTGTGTTACTTATGTAATATATGGCTTCTTTGATAGATTATATGGCCACCTCACGTAATTGGATTGATCATGAGGAGGATGTACTACTTACCATCCTCGAGGAGATGGTTGCTGATGGTGTTAGGTGTGAGACCGGCAGTTTTAAGGCTGGTACTTTTGTAACGGTTGCCTCCAAGATGAGGGAACAAATTCCTGGCATTAATATAGAGCCGAAGCATATACAAAACAAATTGAAGCGTCTGAAAGAAAAGTATTCGTCTGCATATGACATGATGAATACATCTGGATTTGGTTGGGATGATAAGAAAAAATGTGTTGTTGTGGATAGTGACGAAATACTACAGGAGTGGGTGAAGGTAAATTTTTTTTTCTTATTCTTTATCAATTAGTTGCTTTGAAAGTCTTAACCTTGATTTCTTTGGGTTCTTATTGTAGAAACATCCCAATGCATCTTGCAAACCAAATAAGCCATTCCCATTGTATCCACGGCTATGTACGGTGTTTGGGAGAGACCAAGCCACAGGTAGCATTGCTGAATCAGCGGCAGATGCAATTGAAAATATGGGTTTGGAAAGTGAGGATTGTGAGACTTCTGAGATACCTCCGCTTTCACCTACCCCATCTCCTTCTGTTGCTACATCTAGTGTTTCTCAACCTGTTAGGAAGAGGAAGAGGAGCAAGAATAATGGTGATGCAAATATTGTATCTGTTATCAGTGAAGGTTGGAATAAAGCTGTTACTGAAATGAAGAAATTAGGTGAAAGTTTTACTTTTAGAGAAGCAAAAGCTAGACTACCTTCTGAGCTTCAGGCCATGAGTCTCCCATACGATCAGGTGTTAAGAATTTCAATGAAGTTAGTGAAGGATACCGATCTGATGGGCATTTGGACCACCTTGGATGACTCACAGAAGCCAGATTTCATTAAAGTGTTTATGGAGAGCCTTTGAGGTTTTAGTATTTGTGGTTTTAGTATGGGGAACTTTATCAACTTCTAAGTGTTTTCATTATTACTTTAGCAAGACATTATTTGTTTTTTAAGTCGGGACGAATGTTTGATTTCGGATATTTCATGTTTAAGTTATGCATATTTCATTTTCTTTGTTTAAGTTCTAAATGTTTAAACCCTAAAATGTTTACGATATGCATTATCATTAAACTTATATATTTTTCAACATTTTTCAACATTTGTCATGTGCTCTTATGTGGTTTGCCTTGTTCCTGCAATGGGGAATATTTAGAGGGGTGTCCTTCTAAACAAGGCCAATTCTAATGTTTGTAGAACCTAAACTCCCTGAACAACAACCCACAATTGAAAGGACCAAAATTAGGGACTAAAACTTGAATTGGGGTGTGGGTTTTGCAATTTGCACAATAAAATTTGATGGGTTTGTGGTGAAAATTCGAATGAAGGTGTGGAAAACGGGAAAAATTACAAATTTTAAAGGGGTTTGCATGTGAAACACAACATATACCTATTAAAATTTGGACCAAGAAAAACAAATAACGGATAATAGTGTTCAAATTTGAACAACTTATTAAAAAAAAAGAGTTATGTCTCGTTCCGCCCATAAAATTGTACCAAACAACAGACGGAACATGGATATTTTAGTCATTTTAATCTTTTGGTTCCGTTCCGTCCATGTACTACCAAACGCAGGACGGAACAACCGTCTTGTTCCGTCCTGCGCGTACCAAACATAACACAGAACATCTGTTCCGTCCCGTCCCGTCTCGTCCCGTCTGCGTACCAAACGCTACCTATATGAATGAATTTATGGTTATTAATGTCTTGGCTACAAAATGCGGCTTAATCCAAATAGAATGGATTTTGTTTGGTAGTTTTCCATAGGAAATTGGTATTTTTTTTTTCTTAGAATTCGTGTCCAACTTGGTATTTAATCTTAATTTAGCTCTATTAAAATGAAAACAATTTAAATTGAAAATGAAATAACCTCCACATTCAGTAAAAATAAATTCCATAAAAAACTGATGTGGGTGTTTATAAAGCGTTTTCGGTATAAAAAAAAAAAAGATATTATCTCTAAAAGAGTTTTTCATTTTAAAAACGCTTCCACACAAGTCCAACTTGTTAGAAATGCTACAAGAAAAGTATCTGCAAATTGGGTATCAAGTAATTAAGTATTTTACCTATATAAAAAAAAAAGGAAGAATCCATGCGTGTTAAAGCAAAAATCAGTGGGCGCACACTGACTAAATGGTATTTATAATGCACGTAAGACCAACTTGCAGGAGAATTTATGCTAATTTCTTTTTCTGTCTGTTTTCCTATTAATAATATTGTAAACCTTAGGAAGGACGCCAATTGGCTACTGGCTAGAGCCTTCAAGAACCTTCTCCTACTGCTGTAGCATCCACAGTAAAGGACCAATACCTAAGTATTTATAGGTAAGCCGGATTAACCCAGAAAAATAAAAAGAAAAGTTAATCATTGAGAGCGAGAAAGGAGGCGAGATCGATGGGGAAGGAACGCAGTGTAGGAATAGGCATGGATTATTCAGCAACAAGCAAATTGGCCCTAAGATGGGCGGTCGATAATCTGATCGAAGAAGGAGATCGCATCGTATTAATCCACGTTGAGCCACCCAAAGCTGCAACAAGCAGGAAGCAGCTGTTTGAGAACACTGGATCACGTACGCAGTCTCTCCCTCTACATATATACACTTGTTAATTGTCATTAGTTACCTTAATGATTTATTTTTAATTCATGACTTATCTATTATATATATATATATATGTATGTATGTATGTATGTATAAATCAATTACATCTACATAATTTCTTTTGGTTTTTGGTGCTTTTGATTGCAGCTTTGATTCCTTTGGAAGAACTTGTACTGGAGAGTAACGTCTCAAAGCAGTATGGACTTACTAATGATCCAGAGGTGCTTGATGTTCTTGATAAAGTTTCAAGAAGTAAAGGGGTATGTTACTTTGTTACATATTAATCTCATTTTTCATATTCTTTTGTATACTTTCTCATATTCTTTTGCATATCCTAGTTATCTATATAACAATTGGTGTACCAATCTACAGTAATTTGTATATACTATCCTTACGGTCGGTATGATAATCAAACAAATATTGATATTGTATACCAAATGCTGTAGATTGGTAGCCGTACTTTTTAAAATTAGTTTTTGTGCGTCGACATTAATTATTAGATTAGAAACTAGAGTGTGATTAATTTGTATGTGGATCGTGATTAGGCCAAGGTTGTGGCCAAGGTGTACTGGGGAGATGCAGGGGAGAAGTTGTGTGATGCTGTGCTAGATCTCAAGCTTGATTCGCTTGTTGTTGGAAGCAGGGGATTAGGCCTTATCAAAAGGTAACCATTATTTGACTAATTATCTCCACTAAATTAATTCACCTTCTCATAAAAACACAAAATTAAAGAGAGAAAATAAAGGTTTTGCGTTGGATTAATTTTTTGTTCCTACAAAATGGATGATTAATATGTGGTGAATTTGCAGGGTGCTGCTGGGCAGTGTTAGCAACTACGTGGTGACAAATGCTTCATGTCCAGTTACAGTTGTCAAGGAGGCGCAATCATCCAAACCATAAATCTCAAGGGAACTCTTTCAAATAATAACAAGTAGTTGTGAATTATAATGTGTTGAAATTCAAGGAAATTAGGGCTTGGGGGTATTTTGTGGGTTTTTTATTCTTTCCTTTTCGTAATTATAGAATGTTTTTATTCTGTCGGCTTTGGATTGATGGGTATTTGTTATGATATGATATATGCTCTTTGGCAAAGATGTTCAATTTTTATTTTTATTTTTGTAAAAGCAAATATATTCAATTTAATATCTTCCATTTGACTTTACGCATTCTATCAGAATAATGCTAAAGACACATTTTTATTAATTTCTTACACATTTCTATTATGACCATTGTTTTTATGATTTATCCAACCTAAGGACAAAAAGAAAATAAAGACGTGTGAGAAGCTTGAAGAAAAGTATGAAAATCACCCTTTGTATTATTGTTTCATAGAATCCTAATTAGTTGAATGATTTTGCCCAGTCTTAAACTCTAGGGTGGGCTGGGTGTCGGGAGTGGAAATCTAATTATGATGAGTTGTTCGCGTATGGAAGTGGAGGGAAGAAATCTCATTGTGTTATTTGACGGAATTACTAAGTAGATTCTCACTCCCTTTATGAGAGGGTAGATATCTCGTATACGATTATTACTAAAAATTTAATCTCATTTAATCTTTATTTATTAAAACAAAAACAAACAAAAAAGTAGATTGTTACGTTGGCTTGTGATGATTCCAGGTAATTGTTCCTTAATTGTAGTCCAAATAATCTTTAGTTATTTGTGAGACCAATTGGGTTTCGACATTGGATTATTACTTAATACAAGAAACAACTTCAATGAAATGTTTAATCAGAGTTCTTTGCTGATTGCAAATTTAATTAAGTCTTGTCATCAGCATACATACTCAGGAGCCCCCTTTCAACTTTTACAATTTAAAAGGGGGTAAAATGCTCAGCAGCCGGCATCAACTACTTGAGCAAAAGAAATTGTCACAAAGCAAACAAAAATGGACGCTCACTCCCACCCGAATTGTAAGGACAATAGTACAAGTACAGAAATAACCCTAACATGGCCATAACACACATAATCATAGAAGATAGGTCAATAATTCATTAGAGTAGCAAAAGGGAGACCTTTCTAACAAACAACATTCATCTTTTGCTTCCTGGCCATAACAAACTTCCTCCAAATTGTCGTGTTCTCCCTTGTTTTCTCCAAATCACTCTTCTTACTCTCAAGTGTCGTCCATAACGATAAAAAAAGGTCAATTTAACGCACATAACCAACCTTAGATAATAACTTCTCATACATTGCTCAATTGGGGTGTTTGAATATACCAACGTGATCTACTCAACTTCACGAACATCCTCATATTTTTAAAATAATTTTCTGACCTCCCACACTCCGCCACTCACCGGCCAAGCGCGGGCACGTGCCTGGCACGAGTGTGGAACCCTAACGGCATTAGGAATATTCCATTAAAACCCTAACATACGTTAACGACCGTTACCTGACGCCGTTAGAATATTCTGTTAACTCTGACGAAATATTCTCCTCCTTCTCCGGTGAGCCTCGCCGGTCGTCGCCGTCTGCAACTCGAATTCTCATCGGAAACTGGGAAAAACTTCAACCTTTAATATTTTCTTCATTTCTCAACCAAATTCCATGAAATTTGAACCAAAATGAAGCTTACAACGAGTAGAACAGAACCTTACCACTTTGGGGACCTAAAACCAATAGAATCTCACCGGAAAAACTCACGATATTCCGGCCAAACCTACAATTCACTGGAACTGGGCTTCCCGACGTCCAAAACACTTCAAAATTGTTCCCCAAGCTTCGTGAGAAGGTTCTAAAGCTCCCTATAACCTTAAAAACTTCTAAAAACCTCACGATCATGTGTGCAAGAACAGTGCTCCAATTCGAGGTTCCCTGGTTCTCGGGTTTTCGAAGGTTTCACGTCCAACCAACACCACCAATCGACTCCTGAGCTCGAAAGGAGTCCAAAAACACCAACGAAAACCACGATCCGTGCTTGAAATGGTTGGATGGAAGTTGTCCGTACGATGAGGAAGAAAATGGAAGAAATCCGAGAGAAGGAGAGAGAGAGAGAGAGAGAGAGTCACGGGGGAAGGATAGGTGTGTGTGAGTGTGTGTGATCCAAATAAGTTCACAACCAAAAAGAACAACTAAACAACACCCCAAACTGGAAATTAACCACCAAGGACAAAATCCTCATTTCACAACTACAATACAAATAATTCGGGACGGGCTGTAGCAATTTTGGTTAGCAATGATTATTTTATTAATAAGGCACCTAAAATTTTGGTTGCAAATTTAATTAAGTCTTGTCATCAGCATACATACTCAGGAGCCCCTTTTGAACTTTTACAAAGTAAAAAGGGGTAAAATGCTCAGCAGCCGGCATCAACTACTTGAGCAAAAGAAATTGTCACACACCAAACAAAATGGACGCTCACTCCCACCCGAATTGTAAGGACAATAGTACAAGTACAGAAATAACCCTAACCTGGCCATAACACACATAATCTTAGAAGATAGGTCAATAATTCATTAAGAGTAGCAAAAGGGAGACCTTTCTAACAAACAACATTCATCTTCTGCTTCCTGGCCATAACAAACTTCCTCCAAATTGTCGTGATCTCCCTTGTTTTCTCCAAATCACTCTTCTTACTCTCAAGTGTCGTCCCAGGTTTCTCACCATCTTCATCAGCAGCCTTCACATTGGAGCTAAGCTTAGATGGAAGCCTGTCAAGTTCACTCAACACTTTTTTGATGTCATTCACGAGCCGCTCCGCCAAAGTGCGAGAGAAGTCTTCCCTAATGACGACACGTAGCACGGTGATGTGTTGTGCGTCCGGGGGCATGGTGTATGCCGGAATTATCCATCCGAAGCGGCGAAGCAAGTCGGAGATTTCAAACTCGTCGTGGCGATGGTTATCCTTCAAAGAGAAGGCCACCAAGGGTACACCTTCGTCTTTGGAGACTATGTTGAAGCGACTTGTCTTCTCCAATCCTTCTTTTAGTACTATCATGTTTTCACGACAATTTTCCATGACATTCTTGTATCCCTGATTTACATATACAAGAATTAACATATTAGTATCACGTTTGAGACTTTCGTGCATATTAATTACTTGATCACAATTAGATGTCTCAATGATTTTTCTATTGGATTAATATTTTATGCAAGATGGTCTATCAGGAAATTGGAGGTGTCCTATTAGCCATTTGACATGTACATATAATTAATGGTTAAATTTTCATGATTATTTCATTTAGAAGTTATTAGTGTACTCACCTCAAAACCCAAGCGAATCAGTTGATAATATTGAGCAATAACTTGGCTGGAGCCTGCATTGTGAAAAACATTTATACTCAGTCGAAAGTTTAACATGTACTTAATTAAGTGAACTAATTATTAATTCTATCACTAAATTAATGAAGTCTTCTAAAAAAGTACCTTTTGAGAAGTTGAGGGTGAAAGTAGGTTGGTCAGCTCCAAGATAGTTGATATGGAAGATGAGTTCCTCCGGCAAATCTTCTTTGTTCCTCCAGATGACCCATCCAATCCCTGCGTACACAAGTCCGTACTTGTGTCCGCTAACGTTGATGCTCTTCACAAGGGGCAAACGGAAATCCCATTCCAGTTCTGGGTAAAGAAATGGAGCAATAAACCCACCACTTGCTGCGTCTACATGGATTGGAGTATCCCATCTGCGTCCCAAGTAGAAGATGTAAACCAGTAAATAATGTGTCACATCAGTTGGTATAATATCAGTTTAAAATACTACAATTCTTAATCTTCTACAAGTGCACCAAAGTCACAATGTACGTACATACGCCGACACCAACGAACTTGTAAGATAGAGATAGAGATAGAGATGCATACCCAGTTTCCTTGTTCTTCTCTATCAAGAGATCATTCAAGAGCTTCACATTTTCGAACTCACCGTTGAGGGTGGAGCCGAGGATAGCAGCAACGCAGATTGTGTTCTCATCAACCATTTCCACTGCTTTCTCAGGGTCCATTACATAGTAGCCCTCCCTCAACTTCACCTCCTTCAACTCCACCTCAAAGTACCTTGCAAACTTCTCCCAGCACACCTTAAATTTATACAACAAGATATATTTATTTAGTTCAGTATATATGTAGCAGAGGAAAAACGAGTCACAGTAGTTTGATTAATTGCAATGCTGAAAGTACCAAATTTTTTGTGCACTGGTTCTTAAATCACATTACATTACGCGACAAGTGATGTTCGAGTACCAACTAGTCATGATAACTAAGGCAACAAGTCGACCACCCATGTCACATACCGTGGTTCATCAATGTAGTTTAAGAATGTGTCTTCATAGCATAAATTGTACACTGACAGCTATATGAATACCTGGACATTGGCTCCGGTGACAATGTTGGGTTTGTCAACGGGTTTGCCCTCAGCTCTCCTCTTGTTTTGCCACTTCCTCTTGAATGCCAAGCCAGCCAACATGATGGCCTCAGAAGAGCCCACCGTTCCCACTCCAACTGCTGCCTCTGAATCTCCCAATGGTGCATTGAACAGATGAGCTATCATGTTTACGCACCGATTCTGTCATGTTTTCATGCGCACAATATCAACACACACATCAGTTCCATGTATGCACTAACTGTACGTGCACCCTTTAGCTTTCAGAATTTATCATAAGTTTTGTAAAATTAATTCTATAAATTAGTAGAAAACAAATTACAAATTCATTGTGAGTGGTTAATCGTATCATTTAGATTCTCATAATGAGTGTCATAATTGCATTTATCCTTCGATTTTTATTTGTCTCTCTAGAATGCATGTCAACAGCATTTCTCTTTCGATTTTTATTTGTCTCTCTCCTCACGTAAGACAATACAATCAGCATAATCGTGAGTTGTCCTCCATTAGTTGGTATACGCAAAGCTTTAACTTAGAGAAGCAAACGCAATGCTACAAAGATGGCAGTTGAAAAATCTAAAAGTTAGAGATCGGTTAAAAGATGAACAAAAAGAAAAAATTCACTGTTCGAATTCTAATTCGATTCCGAAACTTTAAATGTACGACTATGCAGTCAACATTTGGAAATTTCTTGACTGAGACTGATTCTAATTTTAATTCTAATTCAGCTTTAAAACTGATTCCTGCATACTCGATCGTCAATGAAAGTTTGGTCCCTCTTCTTGACCAAAGTCAAAACATGCATCCAATCTTTCACATCAACACGTTTTACAAAACGGACTGAATAATTTCTATATAAACCATGCGTGCAGTTAATCTTGACATATGTAACTGGTGATTTTATATTTCCTAGAAGGGGAGGGAATAGAAAATAAAAGTGGTCATACCAAAAAAACAAAAAAAGTAGTAAATACAAAAAAATAATTTATACATCTAACTAAGGTATTTTTCTTCACTTGTAAGTGAAAGGTTTTAGGTTCAATTTTCTCCAAAGACGAATTTGAACCACATTATTGTTAGTTTATTGTAAGACTAAAGTCACCCCTTTCCTTACAAATCGTTTTCTCAAAAAAAAAAAAAAAAAAAGTTTGACATTTTGACTCATCTTTTGTGTCTGTCAGCATTTGAAGTGAACCGAAAGAGAAAGGCTTTATTTTGGAATCAAGTTTACCCTAAATAAATCAAAATCAAAACAAAACAAACATGAGAAAAAAATATATTTAGTCATCAAAATTTGCATTCAGTCATTCCAAAAGTATTTCTAATATACTCTTTGAATAAGACTTCTGAAAATATTGGGACAATAATGTAGGTGAACAAATTAAAATTGTCCTCAAATTGATTAAAATTTTGCAGTTCATAAGTGCATTATTAAATCCAAATGTGCATAAGGTCTGACTATAAACACGAGTCCCTTTCTCCTAAACCGTATTGTCCAGGAATATAACTTTTGGCAAAAGACTAATCAGTGGAAGTTGAAAGCATAACAGGGCCGCAGATGGCGTTTGGTGATAGGCGGCACGGCAGCCCTTTCTTGTCCCTCCCAACTAAACTTGCTGACTAATGAAGGAAAATAAAGCTAATAGGCAAGCATCAGAAACCCTACCCCACTGCTAAGAATTCATTCCAAAGAATTCAATATCATTTTTACCCACTTCCTTTGTGGATTTGTAATTAGTGGTCCGAGTTTCCTAGTAACTAACTAAACATCAGAGTCAAAATATTAATTTTAAAACTAGAAAATTACTGAAAAATATAATGAAAAACTGTTATCTGAATTTTTATGATATTAAATACAGATTTGAATCCTATCCGAATTCAAATTGTAGAGATCTTAGAGATTCTCACATCCTAACCGTTCATCGTATATCGTGAGGTCATAAATTATTTTAGATTTTTTTATATAAAATTAAACATAAATAATACCTAAAAAAAACTAACCACACAATATACGATGAACGGCTAGGATGTGAAGATCCCTACGATCCCCACAAAGAAGATCTGAAGAGGATCCTCCTCGTCCATTAAATACCACTACTATTGAGAACTCAATCAACTCTTGTTATCGCTTAAGTAGTGAATAAGGTTTTGGGTTTCTACCCATGCATTCCGAGTTCTAAATTCTCTTATTTTCTAAATCCTTGTAATAGTTTTGAATATTTTCCCTTCTTTTAATAATAATATTTTTTTTTTTTAAAAGTCGTAATTGTTTTGGTAGTTATGTTTTTTGTTCAATAAATTGCTTATCGAGTTCAAATCATTATCTTTCTTTCTTAATATAGCTTTGGAGTGGTAATATCAACCGTAATTTTTTTTTTTTTTAAAAAAAAAAAACAACTCATTCTCATTAAAGGAAATCCATTTTTATTTTCGTGTAAGATTTTCACTTCACAAAGCCTTCCATGTGGTCCTAAGAACAATTTTTTTATAACTTTGCAACTTAAAATAATTCTTCTAAATATTTTGGCCACTGAACTAAGTTTATAGAGAAAATAATTTTCACTCTTATTAGTTTTTCACACTTTTTTTTAAAAAAAAATTTAACTTTCAAATTGAATAAATTAAATAAAAATAATGAACATAATTAAATAAAAGTGTGCAAAAAACCAAAATGAATTTATTTATCATTTTTTTCTTCAATAACAAAGACTATTTTCGTTGTTGGGGTACTTCGCGTCCGACACTGCATGACATTGATATATGTGGTGCGGCGAATCGATTTCACATTAGAAGTCCAAGTCCGTGGTTCTAGAAACTGAAATATCTATAAGCATGGCCAATTGGATTGGAATAATGCACGGGTCTCGGTCATATCACTAACACTATTCCTATTTAAATAATTTAACTCACGCCACTAAGTATTACTGTAGTGTTCATTTTCACTTGGAAATGAAAAGTCTTAAATTCGAATTTCGTAAATAGTAAATTCGACATCAAATTAATTTGCTCATCGTGTGGTTTAACCGAACTCCCTCTCCTTCTAGTGTACAAATACCAATGTACTAAAAAAATAAAAAATTTAATTCACAAAAATACCTTCACTTTTTTAATGTAATTAATATTTTTTGTTCAAAAAAAAAAAATCACAAAAACACCTACCTCGAGTTTTTCCTTCTTACGCACAAATTACAGATTGCCATGTTATTATCATTTTTCTTATTTGTGTTTTTATTAAACCACTTTAGGCATTACACATAAAATCTTTCACGCTACATAATTTCGGTACTACAACATATGGGCTAGCCTAGTGGTGAGGGTGTGGGTAAAGGGGTGGGGTAGTATAGGTCCTAGGTTCGATGAACGGGGTGACCTAGGTTCGATGAACGGGGTGGGTGGTAGTATAGGTCCTAGGTTCGATGAACGGGGTGACCTAGGTTCGATGAACGGGGTGGGTGGTAGTATAGGTCCTAGGTTCGATGAACGGGGTGGGTGGTAGTATAGGTCCTAGGTTCGATGAACGGGGTGGGTTAAAGGGGTGGGGTAGTATAGGTCCTAGGTTCGACGAACGGGGTGGGTTAAAGGGGTGGGGTAGGGGTGGGGTAGTAAAAAAAAAAAAAAAAAAAATCTTCAAAATTATACTAATTCAACGGTTGTGAATACTAATGAAGGTTTGAAATTAATGCAGGACAATATTTGAGTATTAACTATTTTACTCGTTAAGTTAGGTGGCCCAATAAAAACAAGACATGTGTTGAGTGCAGCTTTTAGCTGACCGTTTCGTTTGAGCAACACTGCTATGGCTTTGAAGTTTCTGTGGGACAATCGGGCAAAGAAGAAAAGAACGAATGTGAAGAAGAAGAAGATAGACTTTCCAACTGACGAGACGGCAAGACCTTTTCGTATTTTTTATGACAAGTAGAGAGGTTGTGGGATCTTTATTTAATAAAAATTTTAACAGAATTAGTTAAAAAGATTATTCCTTCTTATCATAACAAATTTAAGAATTAATACTTCCGAATTTTTAGTTTATTAACCAAAAAAATTCAATTAAGCTAAAGTTCAGGAATCCTCAGAAAATAATATTGCTATTACTACCAATCAGGCCTTAGCATGTGGATTATTAAACGTCGAACGCAATTAACAACGTCGCAAACATGGCATCTACTTTTAAAACATCTAAGAAAAGATTAAGTCGTTGTTTATGATATATAATAACCCTAATTAACGCGTCTACAATTAACATATTCTTACCCACTTCCACTACTAGAACGTTCTAAATTATGTCCATATTTTATGCTGTTCTTATTACTTTAATATAATAAATAATTTCTAAATGGGAGTGGATTCAGAGGCAGATTGTCTGCCCTTCTGTTTGGTGTCCTTTCTATCCCTTCCTATTTTGTGAGGTCACGGTTAAACCACGTCAATATTTTATATTGATTTTTTTTTTCTAAAGATAATAAGATAAAAAACAATAGAAATATAAAATGATGACGTGGGTTAACCGTGACCTTACAAATAGAAATGATAGGAATGACATCCAAATAGGAAGGGATTGACGATGAATGATATTGATAAAAAAAGATGCGACTTTTTAAAAGGAAATAAAAAGAAATGAGTAAATTTATTACCTGGAGCTCAGTGGTGATAGGGTACTCATCCATGTCGACGTAGTTCTTGTTGATGGAGGCCATCATGAGTTTATCACACTCAGGCTCCATCCATGTCGTCACGAACGATGCCAGATTCAGCCTAGGGTTCCCATCCAACATCAGCTCATCGTTTATGATCTGGTACGCTGCCTCCTTCGGGATCGAATTTTCCGCCATTTTGAACCTTCATGATAAAAAATCATCAATCGGTACGAATCATGCATATGTGCGTAGAGGGAAATTCGTTTTCATGCAAAATTGTACTATATAGTCCGACTGTAAACCTAAATTATGTAGTATGAGTTTTTTTCGCAAAATATATGATCTAGATTCACAGTATTACCGATGAAATAAAACCACAAAATGAAGAAATTCAAGTGATATAATTACCTAGGAAGAGAAGTTCGGACGTATCGAGAAGCGAAGGTTGAGTGGACGGAGACGTCCGACTCCGACGCAGCCCTTGAGAGAGCCATGGCGGTGATGATCGATCTAGAGATGTAAATGTGGTATTGTGTAGGAGATTGGGGTTTTGGGAAGGAAGAAGATGGATAGTAGTATACAACTGGGGGAGGACAGAGAGAGACACATATTTATAAGGAAAAACAAATTCCATATGTTTTTTAACTTTTTTTAAGGGAGACAACTGGGTAAAGTCATGATTATCCATCATTTTCAGGGGCCAGAAAGACTAACCGAGGTATTTCAGCATTCTCTGACCACAGTCAAGCAGACTCACCAACTTAGAGTCTCAAACTGTGATCTCCCTGTATTTTTGTACTTTAAGAGCTGAAATTCACGCTCTTACCACTAAGCCACTTCCCGTGGTTAACAAATTCCATATGTTAATTGGTGTTTCATTAAAAATGATTTGTATTGGAAACTGCCAGGTAAGCCCCTACATTTGGTCGGTGCGTTCGTCCTACAATATGGTTATTGAATTAGTATAATAATACATAGCCTAGAAGGAAGGGCATCCCTAAAGTTCAGGTTGAAATGTATAGATTATTCTTTTCTCTGTGACCCTCGCCCTTGGTTTTGAACTTGACTTTAGGATCCATTCAAAATCAGTGGCTAGTTTTTCTTTTCTATTCTTTGTTTCCTAAAACTGAGTAGGGTCAATAGTTAGACTTTCTGAGAAGAAGATGAAATATGAAGAATTTTAAGAGCATGTTAACTGACATGGACTAGAAATTGCAATAATTTTGATTTGAATTTCTTACGTTTACTAGAATATGGGTATATGAATCATTTCATTTCTTAATTTTTTTTTTTTCTTCTGTGTTTAGTGACACGCATTTGATTTTCTGTATTTAGCTTCTTTATTTCTAAGTTCTTCAATTCTTTCATTCTCACATTAGTATAAAGTAAACATGGCCTAAATTCTTTTTTATTTATTCTTCCAACAAGAAAAAAAAAAAAGCTTATTCTTTGTTTTCTTTTGATTATTGTTATTATTATTAAAAACTAGCAATTGTACACATGTTATGAATGTGCTTATTAAAATTTTAAAAATAAAATTTACAAAGAGAACAAATATAAAATGATTGTTAAAGCTTTTTAGTGACGACCTTCTAATAATTTTTCGCCATTGAAGAAGCTATTCATATCTTTAATGATTGGTTCTGGGCAACTATTTCGTCACTAAAAATTTATTTATTTGTGAGAAAAATGTGGACGCAAAAATGTGATCAACTGATATGGTTATCTCGCTGTGAGGCTTTAGAAAAAAAAAAAGTAAAATATTTTGTGTTTAATTAACTAAATTGCCCCATTATTTTTATTTTGGTTATTTTTCTTTAATTTTGTGGATTGAGTAAATTTGGTCTTTTCACTTTTGTTTTGGTTGACAAAGAGAATTTTGTTAATAGAGTTTAGATTATTTATCTAAAATATAAAACGATTTGTTATTGGCACTGTGAATTTTCTATATTTAAAAAAAATTATAAGAAGTGAAAAATAAAATTTTTAGAATGAGTAAAACATTTTTTCTCAAAGATAAATAGGAAGTGCTATTCAAAGCTCTCCCACAGAGTGCCGCAACAGTAGTGCCAAAAAATGGAAAGTTCGATTTGGAAAATTTGAAAGAACCAGTTTGACTGCGAAACTGAACTAGTCAAAACCCGGAAATCAAGTCAAAATTGATGAAAAACGTGTAATGACATGATTCAAATTAAAAATCAATTTGTGCACTTAATGCACAGGCTCGTTCTGGTAGCTTAGTTGGGGACATGATCCTGTTTGATTCATCCCCCACCTTTACAGCTTCTCTCCTTGTTTTTTCTTTTGTTTCCTTCTTCAGCCCCTGTTGTTCGCTCTTTTATTATTAAGTTGCATTCTTCCGTGCGGATTCTCATTGTTGAGTTTCAATAATGTTTAGTGGCTAATTTTCACCAACAACTAGGTTTATTATGCTTTCACAAAAATCCTTCAATTTGAGAAATTACGCTTACTAGGTTGGTCTTTACTTTGAAGACATGTGAGTCTTTTTTCGTATGAGCATTCATATTAGGAAATTAGTCATCAAATTCAATAATTTACATTACATCAAAACACAATACTTATGCAAAGTGATTAAGTTAAAAATGTTTCTTGCGTGAAACCTTATGTCTATCGTCTCTCTTCTCTATACCCCCTTCCTCTCTCTGTTGATTGTTCACTCTCACTCTCAGTCTCTCGTCATGAGTTTTTCATTTTCTTTCCTTTTCACGGAGTACAAGGTGAAGCCCATACGGAGGCTTTGGAGATAACGGGGTTGGTCCTCAACCCACTTGAGCAATTTGCTATTCTACCATTGATTTCTATGCATATAGGAAACTTGTATTTCTCATTCACAAATCCTTCTTTGTTTATATTGCTCATTCTCAGTTTGGTCATACTTCCGGTTCATTTTGTTACTAAAAATGGAGAAGGAAACTCAGTACCAAATGCCTAGCAATCCTTGATAGAGCTTATTTATGATTTCGTATTGAACCTGGTAAACGAACAAATAGGTGGTCTTTCTGGAAATGTAAAGCAAAAGTTTTTCTTTCGCATCTCGGTCACTTAAACTTTTTCATTATTTTGTAATCCCTAAGGTATGATACCTTATTTCGTAATCCCTAAGGTAGTATACAGTCAATAAAACAACACCATTTGACCTCAGGATCCATTACTATCAAACAAAATCGCCAGGCTTTTTCAATCCTGACTCCTTACCATATTCCAGCAGCTTCAAACTTTGATTTCCAGTTAGCTTCATAAACTTCTTGAAATATGTCCTTGAATCTTATATCATGAACAAACAAAGATATAGATAGGTCAGAAAATGATAAGTACAAATTTTAAATCCTTTTTCTGTTTGTCAAAACAGGGAAATTAGGAATCTGCGTACCTTCCGTCATACTTCTTCAGAATAGTATTTTTTGTGCTAAGATAAAGAGGCCACTTTTTCTCATAAGCTGTGGTCATGGAAGCCCCTGTAAAAGCACGGATGGACTGCATACCCAAGACAGATATACAATATAAGGGACAAACACAGTGACTCACAGCAATCAAGAAATTCTTTCAACAGAAACACGAAAGGAGTAACAAATTAAACCTCATCAGTGTTGTACATGGCCAATGCAACTCCCCCCTCCGCTGTAAAATTGTAAACCTCTAGCTCTGTCTTCTCATCCTTTCCTTCTGGTGCTGCAAGCATTTATCATGTAATAAGACAAAAAACTAAAGGAATTTAAGAACTATCACTTATCAAGAGAAACTTTGCACATATAATCCTTCTAAACTACAGTGCTGTACACAAATCTAATACTATCAAAGTAAAGATAAAAGTTTGCCAAACACCAATTTCAGTTTCCCAGGTCCTTTAATGACTGCATCAGTTGCTCGATACTGATCACCAAAAGCATGTCTTCTAATGCATATCGGCTTTGTCCAGCCTGAAAACAGAAACAATAAGCATTGTTCTAATCCGACGAAACTATAGAATCACCATATGACATTATAATACCTGGGACAAGGCGAGGGATGTTTTTGCAAATAATTGGTTCTCTGAAAACAGTACCTGTAGAAAAAGCAATCATTGTAATTTGAAAAGAATATTGTTCAAAAGATGAAAACGTATAGTTGACAGTTCACTAACCATCCAAAATATTCCTAATAGTCCCATTGGGACTCCTCCACATACTCTTCAAGTTAAACTCCTTCATACGAGCTCCATCTGTCAATTATAACAACAATATCATGAATTTTGTCAATCTCTCGGTGACGACTGAAAATATTAATACAGGATCTAGAGTTAGAAAACAAATGCATGTATAATTGTTCAGTAGTGTTGACCTGGAGTAATAGTTGCACACTTGATCGCTACATAGTACCTAAAATACCAAGTGTTAGAGATGTGGAATGAAATAGCAAACTAAAATTTCCAAGCAAAAAGATACTCTAAGCGCTCATTGTTCTTCCGTTCTAAGAACTTTAAGTAGAGATGCGATAAACGTACTTGAGAGTAGCCTCAGCACTTTCAACAGTAACCTGGTCATCAGTGGCATCCCGATGAGGAAGACCAAGGTCAAAGTATTTGATGTCTAATTCCACAGATGGCAAAATAAGCTGCAGATACAACAAAGAGAAAGAATCATATAAGCAACCACCATCTTGATCACAACAGCATGTAGTTACAAAAAGTAGTATTAGTGAAGCACTTAAGAGTAAGATGTAGAAACCTTGTTCTTAATGGATTTCCAGAAAACCCTTGTCATTTCGTCCCCTGTACCACATATCAAAAGACAGTATGAACAAGTGTACGGTGAAATTTCTTCGAGTCTCGACCCATGTACACAAGCGTATCAGTTTCGTAAAGTTAGAGTTAAATCAAATCAACAAGTGTGCCATGCGTATTAGATTCTCACTCCTTTTATGAGAGGGTAGATGTCTCACACACGATCATTATGGAAAATCTAATGTCGTTTAATCTTTATTCATTAAAAAAAAAAAAAAAAAAAAAAAGATTGTTACGTTGGCTTGAACCACCCTTCTTGTTTTTTAACATTGAATATTGATGATTCCAGGTAATTTTTCCTTAATTGTACTCCAAGTAATCTTTAGTTATTTGTGAGACCAATTGGGGTTCGACATTGGATTATTACTTAATACAAGAAAGAACTTCAATGAAATGTTTAATCAGATTTCTTTGCTGATTGCAAATTTAATTAAGTCTTGTCATTAGCATACATACTCAAGAGCCCCTTTTCAACTTTTACAAAGTAAAAGGGGGTAAAATGCTCAGCAGCCGGCACAACTACTTGAGCAAAAGAAATTGTCACGCACCAAACAAAAATGGACGCTCACTCCCACCCGAATTGTAAGGACAATAGTACAAGTACAGAAATAACCCTAACATGGCCATAACACACATAATCATAGAAGATAGGTCAATAATTCATTAGAGTAGCAAAAGGGAGACCCTTCTAACAAACAACATTCATCTTCTGCTTCCTGGCCATAACAAACTTCCTCCAAATTGTCGTGATCTCCCTTGTTTTCTCCAGATCACTCTTCTTACTCTCAAGTGTCGTCCCAGGTTTCTCACCGTCTTCATCAGCAGCCTTCACATTGGAGCTAAGCTTAGATGGAAGCCTGTCAAGTTCACTCAACACTTTTTTGATGTCATTCACGAGCCGCTCCGCCAAAGTGCGAGAGAAGTCTTCCCTAATGACGACACGTAGCACGGTGATGTGTTGTGCGTCCGGGGGCATGGTGTATGCCGGAATTATCCATCCGAAGCGGCGAAGCAAGTCGGAGATTTCAAACTCGTCGTGGCGATGGTTATCCTTCAAAGAGAAGGCCACCAAGGGTACACCTTCGTCTTTGGAGACTATGTTGAAGCGACCTGTCTTCTCCAATCCTTCTTTTAGTACTATCATGTTTTCACGACAATTTTCCATGACATTCTTGTATCCCTGATTTACATATACAAGAATTAACATATTAGTATCACGTTTGAGACTTTCGTGCATATTAATTACTTGATCACAATTAGATGTCTCAATGATTTTTCTATTGGATTAATATTTTATGCAAGATGGTCTATCAGGAAATTGGAGGTGTCCTATTAGCCATTTGACATGTACATATAATTAATGGTAAAATTTTCATGATTATTTCATTTAGAAGTTATTAGTGTACTCACCTCAAAACCCAAGCGAATCAGTTGATAATATTGAGCAATAACTTGGCTGGAGCCTGCATTGTGAAAAACATTTATACTCAGTCGAAAGTTTAACATGTACTTAATTAAGTGAACTAATTATTAATTCTATCACTAAATTAATGAAGTCTTCTAAAAAAGTACCTTTTGAGAAGTTGAGGGTGAAAGTAGGTTGGTCAGCTCCAAGATAGTTGATATGGAAGATGAGTTCCTCCGGCAAATCTTCTTTGTTCCTCCAGATGACCCATCCAATCCCTGCGTACACAAGTCCGTACTTGTGTCCGCTAACGTTGATGCTCTTCACAAGGGGCAAACGGAAATCCCATTCCAGTTCTGGGTAAAGAAATGGAGCAATAAACCCACCACTTGCTGCGTCTACATGGATTGGAGTATCCCATCTGCGTACCCAAGTGGAAGATGTAAACCAGTAAATAATGTGTCATATCAGTTGGTATAATATCAGTTTAAAATACTACAATTCTTAATCTTGTACAAGTGCACCAAAGTCACAATGTACGTACATACGCCAACACCAACGAACTTGTAAGATAGAGATAGACATAGAGATGCATACCCAGTTTCCTTGTTCTTCTCTATCAAGAGATCATTCAAGAGCTTCACATTTTCGAACTCACCGTTGAGGGTGGAGCCGAGGATAGCAGCAACGCAGATTGTGTTCTCATCAACCATTTCCACTGCTTTCTCAGGGTCCATTACATAGTAGCCCTCCCTCAACTTCACCTCCTTCAACTCCACCTCAAAGTACCTTGCAAACTTCTCCCAGCACACCTTAAATTTATACAACAAGATATATTTATTTAGTTCAGTATATATGTAGCAGAGGAAGAACAAGTCACAGTAGTTTGATTAATTGCAATGCTGAAAGTACCAAATTTTTTGTGCACTAGAACTTAAATCACATTACATTACGCGACAAGTGATGTTTGAGTACCAACTAGTCATGAAAACTAAGGCAACAAGTCGACCACTCATGTCACATACCGTGGTTCATCAATGTAGTTTAAGAATGTGGCCTTCATAACCTAAATTGTTTAATGATAGCTGCATGAATACCTGGACATTGGCTCCGGTGACAATGTTGGGTTTGTCAACGGGTTTGCCCTCAGCTCTCCTCTTGTTTTGCCACTTCCTCTTGAATGCCAAGCCAGCCAACATGATGGCCTCAGAAGAGCCCACCGTTCCCACTCCAACTGCTGCCTCTGAATCTCCCAATGGTGCATTGAACAGATGAGCTATCATGTTTACGCACCGATTCTGTCATATTTTCATGCGCATAATATCAAAACACACATCAGTTCCATGTATGCACTAACTGTAGGTGCACCATTTAGCTTTCAGAATTTATCATAAGGTTTGTAAATTAATTCTATAAATTAGTAGAAAACAAATTACAAATTCGTTTGGAGTGGTTAATTGTATCATTCAGATTCTCAGAATGAGTGTCATAATTGCATTTATCCTTGGATTTTTATTTCTCTCTCCTCACGTAAGGCAATGCAATCAGTATAATTGTGAGCTGTCCTCCATTAGTTGGTATACGCAAAACTTTAACTTAGAGAAACAAACGCAATGCTACAAATATGGCAGTTGAAAATTTTAAACGTTGGAGGTTGGTTAAAAGATGAACAAAATTAAAAATTCACTGTTCAATTTCTAATTCGCTTCCGAAACTTTAAATGTACGACTATGCAGTCAACATTTGGAAATTTCTTGACTGAGACTGATTCTAATTCTAATTCTAATTCCAATTCAGGTTTAAAACTGATTCCTGCATACTCGATCGTCAATGAAAGTTTGGTCCTTCCTTCTTGCATCATATCTTTCACATCAACACGTTTTAACGGACTGAATAATTTTTACGGAAATCGACTGGCTTCTTTGCCCTCCCAATTCTCATACATTTTCTTTCCTTTCTATTTGTGCAGTTACTGTTAAACCACATCAACATTTTATATTACTATTGCTTTTTGTCTTATTATCTATACAAAAAATTAATATAAATGTTGACATGGCTTAACCGTGACCGTAACCGCACAAAATAGGAAAGGATGAAAGTGTATGAGAAGTGAGAAGGCAGAGAAGCGAAGTCCTATGTAAACCATGCGTGCAATTAATTTTGACATACGTAACTGATGATTTTATATTTCTTAGAAGGGGAGGGAATAGAAAATAAAAGTAGTCACACCAATAAAAAATAAAAAAATAAAAAAAACTAGTAAAGGCAAAAAAAATAATTTATACATCTATCTACTATAATCGAATTGGCCAAGATTTTGGCATTGCCACATAGCAATACGATATTCCTCTTCACCTGTAAGTGAAAAGTCTTAAATTCAATTCTCTCCAAAGAAAAATTTGAACCACATTATTGCTAGCCTATTATGAGACTAAATCTACCCCCTCCGTTACAATATCGTTTCCTCAAAACAAAAAAAAACAAAAAAAAGTTCGACATTTCAACTCATCCTTTGTGTTTCTCCTTGTGCATTGAAGTGAATCGAAAGATAAAGGCTTTATTTTGGAATCAAGTTTACACTAAATAAATCAAAATCAAAATAAAACAAACATAAGAAAAAAAACTATTTTTAATTGTCAAAACTCGCATTCAGTCATTTTAAAAGTATTTATAATATACTCTTTGAACAAAACTTCTGAAAATATTGGGACAATAATGTAGGAGAACAAATTAAAATTGTCCTCACATTGATTGAAAGTTTTGCAGTTCATGGGTGCATCAAAATCAAATGTGCATAAGGTCTGACTATAAAGACACGAGTCCCTTTCTCCAAAACCGTATGCAAGCATTTTTGCTTATCATCATTTAATGTGGTGTATGTTCATTGCTCTAGTTATCATCATTAGATGATTTTGAATTTCGAGATTCGTATAGTGGATAAGCATAAATCTCAATATTCAAACTTATCTAACAACGATAAATAGGATGATGAACATACAACAAATTAAATGATGGTGAGCAACAATGCACTCAAACCGTCTTGTCCAGGAATATAATTTTTGGCACAGACCAATCAGTGGAAGTTGAAAGCATAACAAAGCCGCACATGGCCTTCGGTGATAGGCGGACAGCCCTTTCTTGTCCACCCAACCAAACTTGTTGACTAATGACCGTAAAATAAAGCTCAGAGGGAAGCATCAGAAACCCTACGCCACAGCTAAGAATTCATTCCAAAGAATTCAATATCATTTTTTTTTTTTTGTCAAAATATCATATTAATTATTAAGTACCCACTTGCTTCACTGGATTTGTAATTAGTGGTCCAAGTTTCCAAGTAACTAACTAAACATCAGAGCCAAAATATTAATTTAAAACTAGAAAATTACTGAAAAATATAATGAAAAACTGTTATCTGAATTTTTATGATATTAAATACGGATTTGAATTCCATCCAAATCTAAGTTGTAGGAATCCTCACATTCTAACTGTTCATCGTACATCATGTGGCTAGAAATTATTTTGAATTTTTTTATATAAAATTAAACATAAATAGTACATAACAAAAACTGACCGCACAATATACAATGAACGGCTAGAATGTAAGGATCCCTATAATCTCCAGAAAGAGGATCCAGAGAGGATCCTCATCCATTAAATACCACCACTATTGAGAACTCAATCAACTCTTGTTATCACATAAGTAGTGAATAAGGTTTTAAGTTTCTACCCATGCATTTCGAGTTCTAAATTCTCTCATTTTCTAAATTCTTGTAATAGTTTTGAACATTTTCCCTTCTTTTAATAATATTTTTTTTAAGCAGTAATTGTTTTGGTAGTTAGGTTTTTTATTCAATAAATTGCTTATCGAGTTCAAATCTTTATCTTTCTTAATATAGCTTGGACTGGTTATATCAACCGTAATTTAAAAATTAAAAATTAAAATTAAAAAAAAAACAGCTCTTTTCATTCTCATTAAAAGAAATCCATTTTTACTTTCGTGTAAGATTTTCACTTCACAAAGCCTTGCATGTGGTCCTAAGATCAATTTTTTATAACTTTGCAACTTAAAATAATTCTTCTAAATATTTTGGCCACTAAACTAAGTTTATAATTTATAACTTTTTTTTAGTGAGAGAAGATAATTTTCACACACTTTTATTAGTTTCTCACACATTTTTTTAGATTTTTAGCTTTCAAATTAAATCAATCAAATAAA